GCCAAGTTGCCAAATTAATATTAATTAAATTCTGCCAGTACATGCTGTCTGAGGCTGGTACAGCAGTATTTATCAAGGATTCAAAGATAAATTCAAAGAAACTAAAGGCGGGTTTTGACAGTAAAAAGCCCTACTTTAACTCATTTTATCACATTTGAAGAAAATATTATAGCCGACAGCCAATCAGTGTCTCACAGCCAATCAGTGTCTAGTTGTAGAGTTGCAGTTCCCTGCATTTGAGTTGAGTTGAGTTGAGTTTATTATTTCCCATAATATTATACAGTACATATGGTGTGTTACAATGTAATAAATTTGGGAGGAAGACTAAAGAAACCCTTACGGGCTTTTACAAGTAGTCTCCCTGAAGGTAACAAAAGATCTATTGAAATTCATTGAAATGGTATCAGTGAAATAGGTAATTAACGGACAGAGATACAATAATTGATCTTACACATATATTACAGATATTTCACTCTGTACTGAGTACTTATTTACAATACTATCACTACATGGGATAGGAGAAAGGGTTGAAAGATCTACTTGAATTACTGAAATTGAGTCGGTGAAATAGGTAATTAATAGAGATCAATAATTACAATAATCATATAATACATTTATTAAAAATATTTCACTATGAATGTATTTGAGTACTTATTACTCTACTATAACCACATGGGATAAGAGTAAAAGTTTTAATTTCCTTTTGAATATTTTTATAGATGCCGAGCATTTTATGTTCAGAGGTATTCTATTCCAGATATCAATTATTTTGTTTTTAGTAGAGTATTTTCCATAATTTGTTCTCCTAAAAATCTTATGTAGATGCCCTTTTGCTCTAGTATTATGGCCATGGACTTGTGCATTTCCTATACAGAAGTCATTGAAATAAGACGGAAGTACTTTACTATTAAGGCTGAAACTGAAAGAGCCAATTAAAAAATCATTTATTTGATAAATGTTTAGAAGACTTAACTTAATAAAGAGCGGAAGAGATGGTGCTGTATACGGCGAAAAGGTTATAATTCTCAATACTTTTTTTTGTAGTTTGAACAATGTATCAAGCCTTGTGGGAGAGTTATTTGCCCAAACAATATTCCCAAAATTTGCATGAGGAGAATTGGTCGCGATTCACCAACAGTAAACATTTTAACCGTATTTTCTTCACAGAGAAAAAAAACATATCAGCCTTTCATTGCACCCAGTGGAAGTTATGTTGCTTGGAAACCTTAATGCAACTCAACATCACAATCAATGATGTCACTGCAGCTTCCTACCAAAGTCAACTTGTGTTTCCGCCTCACTGTGCGATCCACACACATTCCACAACAGATACAAAGTTTGACAACATTATAAACTCTCTCCACCAGGAATCAAAACCCAAAACAGAGTTTTAGCTTAAGGGGACACTGTTTATCTCCGTTATTTATCAACAGAGCAATGACCTGCACTTGTGATCTGTGTTCTGTACCTGCGAAATTTGTACCAGATCTCCTGGACTTACTTGATGATTTACTTGATGATTTAAACCATAAGTTTTATCCTTTAATTATCAATATGTTACTTGCTCATGAGTCTTAAATTTAAGCTTTATAAGTCAAGCTAATTAAACATACCTCACAAGATCCGTGCCAGATTTTTCACGACTGCTGCCGTAAAGTCAAGTGTTGACGAGTAAGTAAAAGAACTGCTGAAGCTCAAATCCGAGTTCCAGAAGTCTGATTATGTTACTTTAGATCCAATTTACTACACACGTTCTGTGCGGTCAATAATCCGTCGCCATAAGTCGCCATATTGGTTTCTTGTGGAACCCAGTCTCTCAATTGGCGCGTGAGGCTCGCGCGCGAGCTCACGAAGTACTCGTTTCCCGTTTCTCGAGTACTCGTAAAACGCGCTCAATGGAGTCAGGAAATAAACATTCATGCCTATTGTTTGTTTATTTGTTCACGATTTATGAGTGAGATAAATAGTAAATGTTACTTCTAACAGTGACAAGTATTTCTAATGAGTAATGAAACCAGCACACGAGGAATGTAAGTGCTGAAACCTACATGAGCTTATGTGGCGCAAAATATCGTTCACGCATGCCCAGGAATCGAATCACCATCTTAGATGTGAAAGTAATCACTACTCTTGCAATTGCGAGCTTTTAAGTAAAATAGGCAGGTTTAATATCTCTCATTAACACTGAATTGACCCTGCAGTATCAACCTATTCCAGGAGCTAGAGTCCGCGGTTCATAGGTCAGACGGCTATACCATGCTGATGAGCCCCAATAAGGTGGCCCCTGGATTGAGACAGCTGTAGCTTGTACACAGACGTTGTTTTATTTTTCTTTTCGTTCTTTTCGAAGACATCGGCGAGCGCGCGTCTATTTTCTTCTCTTTCCCCACCCCTACCCCCTTGCGCTGTCGGTCAGTAAATCCCCCCCGGTTTTTGTTTTTTTATCACGCGCGCTCGACGGACTTTGAAGAGAAAATAGAGGGTCTATTAACACCTGGTGATATGGCTGTGCGCATGCGTTAGGTACTGGTCAGGCTGTGGGTTTGCCTACGTGTGCCAATTTCTGATACGTTTGCTATAATCGAAGTAGGAGAACGCAACTGGATACTTTAACTTCTGATTTTTCCAGTTATGGGATTGGTTCAATCGAAATAATTGCGCCATCGCGTGTGATACCCGCGCGCAATTTTGATGAGGGCGCCGCACAAAGAATAAGCAAACAAAATGGTGTTGGAAATTACCTTCATGGGAGGTGAATAAATTCCATTTTCTGTCATTATTTTCAGGAGAACCTTAATCAGCGACGTTTTTGAACGACGCACGTCAACTGGAAGTGAACCTTTTCCACTCTTGAGCCGTGATTTTGAACAAATTTTGGGACAAATCGTCTCTTTAAGAGTAAACACACGTAGCATACAAATTTGGTAGCGTCAAGGCATATTAAATGAGAAAAAAGGCTCACCTCTGGTTGACGTGGGTCGCTCAAACACGTCCCTGATTAAACTTCCTAAAGACTCCGAATGTGAGGACTGTGAATGGGACTCCGATTATGGTAATCACCAATGTGCGATTGTTATTTCGATTGGTATGAAGGGCACAGGGGCGTGATTTTGGAATAAGAATTAAGGGAAATATGGTGACGTTCATCCCTGAAGGTTTGACAACTAGGTGTAAAAAGAGTACAAGGCAAGAATTGATTTAGGAGAGTTCTCCCTGCTGTGGTTTCGTGTGGAGAGGATGTAAAAAAAGTCCAGTTTCCAGAACGTGTTTTTCTCTCACATGTTTTTGCATCTCGTTTTCCTAATCTCTTCTTTCTGAAAAATATTGACGGGTTTTTCCCTTCTGTCCGCCATTAGGGACCTTACGATCCGAGGACAGCGACGGCAGCAAAAACGTCGTTGAAAATATTTGCGTTATTTCAATCTTCATCACGATTACTCCAAGTCACTAATTTTACTTTGTCAAATGTAGGTGAACCCTCCGTCTTTCCTCCGTTTCATATCGAAGTTCAGAAAGAGGAGGAAATTTCGTCGTCGCTTGTGTACTTCCTCCGTAAAACGTGAAATTAGCAGTTGTGTAGAAGCTGCTCATACGGTCTCTCCTGATTGGTCGCAGAAAACAATGACATGTCATTCTTTCAATTGTTTCGGTATTGCTTGGGGTCAGAGTTAGGCAGCATTGCTGACTTCTCTTTAGAGCAGCTGCTACATGACCAAAATTAAGGCATTTTCACGTCGTAGTCGTGCAGCGACGGCAAACAATTGTACAAAAAAGCGTGATGCACGTGTAAAATTGTTGTTTTGGTTATTAAACCTATTGCTTTTTGACGTTTTCGTTGCCGTCGCGGTCGTCGGTTCCCATTACTGCGGCTTGTCACCGGAAGCTGAGCTGTAATACAAAGAAGTAAGAGTACTAGATCTGGAGAGGATGTAGATTAAGGAACGTTCGGTTGACTATAGTCGTATATTTTCTCATAAAACAAACAAATATTAGAAAGCACTTTCATTTAATTAGTGAGCACTATAAAATGTGTATTTACACACTGAAGTAATAAAAAATACCAGTGGGTAATGGAAACATCAAACTGAAAACAGGCAAACCAATTCATTCTTCTAACTACCATATCGGCAGTTAGCTAGAGGCGGTTTATTTCACAAAAACAGACCTTATTCACGATTTTATCAACATACCCGTCATCTTTGCACGCCCTTTAGATTGATGAGATAACAGGAGTGTCACGTAGTATTTCAAGGAGTAAAAAAAAGGAAAAAGTTGCCAATACGACTGAAAGCGGTCGAGTTTGTTTATTCTCTCAAAAGGAAACAATAATTTAATGGTCGTGCAAAATGCACGGTTCGAGTTTCGAGAAGTTTTAACGTCATTCTTGCTTGCTGTGAGGACATCTACAGCGGCAGGTTCAAAACGCAGATCACAGGTCATGAGTGCAGGTTCGAGTGCAGGTCAACATGCTACGGTAAATAAACAACACTTAAAGTGTCTCCTAGCCCTAATCACAACCTGAAATAGAGTTTTAGCTTAAGGGAAAACTGCCTACCTCCGTTATTAATCAATACAGCAGCGTCCTGCACTTGTGACCTGTGACCTGTGTTCTGCACCTGCCACATCTACAGTCGCTACTGCATCCAAAAAGTAACAATGATCACTTTCATCCATAATCTGCCATTATCGTCAACGACCGATGAACGTACAAACAGGGACTTCCTTCCGACTCTTAAGCGACAATTTATTCTTGAATCAGCCAGCAAAGGAAATTTTCCCGCTTCCTTGTTTTTGGTATTGTTTACAGTGCATATGGAATATAGTGCGACTCACGGAGTACACAGTACCAGCAATACATCCAGTCATAATGTAAAGTTTCTAGTTTTTCTTTTTTAACTTGTAGTCTTTGTTCCTCTTCATGTTTAGCTGTGATATCGTCGAGTCGCTTCGTCCAGTTTTCGTAAAACTCCTGAACTTCTTGCATCAGCGAGTCCATCATGTCCAGATTCCTTTTTGCCGTTTCGTACCCAGGCCCAACCGACAAGTTCGAGTTCATCTGCAAGGACTTCTGCAATGAGAACAAACCCAAGCTATAGTGTTCTGATGGCATAAATGGAGAAAAAAGCCTTTTTAGTTGGGAGGCGGGGAGGTAGGAGTAGTACACAGAATTCGCCCCTTTATAAACGAGAAGGAAAAGCGTTTTAAACGTCTGGAACTGGCTAAAAGGAAACTGAGCCGAGTTTACTTTCGCTAACACTTCTGGGATCGTAGCTATTGGCCACTCCGGTAACAGTCCCAGAAGTCTTTGTTAAAGTTAACTCGACCCAGCTGCCTTCTCGTTTCTAAATTATGCATGTTTACGTCAAACTAGCAAATTTTACCGCCAAGCCTCGTTTCGAAAATCTTCTAGCCTGTTCCAGGCATTCAGATGGTAGAGCGCGGGGGTCAGTGGGGAGCGAGTTAAATTGTACACAGGGAAAACTGGGAGGGGGGAGAACAGGGGGGGGTGAGATGAGAGAAACCTTTCCCCCCTCTAGTCTGCCCTCGTTTTTTTTTTTTTTTTCTTCGTGAATTTTTCTCCGCGCTCTACTATCTGAACGCCTGGAACAGGCTAAAAATCTTGCCATTGGTCAAGTTCTTTTCAGATCTGCACGCACCTTCGTCAACGCCGTCGAATTTTCATTCCTTAATGTCACTTTTAGGAGTCCAAAAACTATTCTGGAGTGACTAATAGGCCCGTCGCGCGTGCAGGCAAAGAAAGTTGTAAGTGAGGCGAAAAAAAGAAGGTAAAAAATTACCATAAATAAAAAGACACGTGATTGATGTTTTATAGGTCTCGTGGGTGTTGTAATCAGTTGGTCTTGAGGTTGACGGGGGCGTGACTGATTTTCGTGACAGTTGGCGCGAAGGATCACGTGGCCATTTTCCTAACTACTTAGATGGTTTAGGATGCGTTACTTACGTCATTGATGACGTTAGCATGACGTCAACGGTCATACCATTTAACGCCGAATGTGGTCACGCTTAAAAGTTCAAATGTAACTCCAAACGTTATTACATTTAATACTTTATTACATTTAGGGTGAAATGTTATTACATTTAAGATTTTGTTGCATTTAGGGTCAGTTATTAAGTTTAGGCTTTCTACAGATGTTACATACATGAATTCTCACTATAGTTATTTTGAAAAGAATACCCATGTACAAAAGTGCAAATGCAAAGAATTTTGTTCACAAACTAGCCTTGGTGATGAAATTTGCTCGGCTGACGTAAACACACATAATGGCCATTGTGACTTTAAAGCCTCCTCGTGCTCGCAAAGGAAGGCGGGAAGGAGAAAACGGGCCTTGCGCCTCGTCACCAATCACTCGCGTGTCACACGCGTTTCGCGCTCGCCTCTGTGCGAAAAACGAAGCGTCTGAGGAAGAAACAGACTTTAGAGGTTGTGAAAGAAATGACATAGGGTGGTATTCAGGCGCGGGTACTTGAAAAAAGGTGTCTTCACATTAGGACCCATTGAGTACCTTACTTGGCCACCGTCCAGGGGAGTAAATGTGAACATGACCTAAGCCTTTCGTCTTACCCATCTCTGCCTTTTTCTTCCAGTGTCTTATGTAGTCGTAGTCCCGGATAATGCCACAAGCCGACAAAAACAGCAGCAAGCCAATGCAGGTGTAAATGGAGTTATGGAACATAGGAGAGTTGGCGTCAAATAAGCTGGATGAGCGCTCCACGGCTGCACTCTCTGATGGCTCCTACGAATAACAAGAAAAACGAAATAATATATTTATTGAAGTCAATGACATCAGTAGTTTGTCCATTATCTTTCCCAGACTGCGTCGTTTCTTTAGGCCACATGATCTCCATCGCTACAAATTAAGCTGAGTGGCTCTGGGAACGAAAATGTAGTTAGTCTACTCTCGTCCAAAGACCCCTTTGTTTCTTTTGATCACGTGGTCTCGTTTGTTATAAATTAAGCTGAAAGGCTCTGGGGATGAGAATGTAGTTTGTCTGGTGAAATCGTTCGTTAAAAGTGGTTTTGTTGATGGATGAATAAAGTGTCGCAGGAGCCCATAAACCGGAGCGAGAAACTTCCCAGCGCTCGTGTCACGGCGTTTTTCACAGACCAGTTTATTTTTAGAACGCTTTTGGGGCGAATTTTGAGTGTCATTTAAATTTCACAAACCAGTCAGGAAAACCTACAGACCTAAAAATGATGTTTTTGCCTTTTAATAACGTTTAGTTTTGCTTTTTGATATCTCATACTTCGAATGCGCTTATAGACATGGTGGAGATTCTATTTTATCGGGAAAAAGTTCCATAAAATGTGTCTAAAAATATACTGGACCATAAAAACCCAGTGACATAGGCCTAGTATGAGAGATGATCGTCCATGTGAGTTTAGCCCTTCAAAAGAATGTAATTGGTGATAGATGTGTGAACCCAAAAGTATCAGTAATTTATCTAATGTAATCGTGATCGTCCATGTGAGTGTGGTCCTTAAAACGACTGTTGTTGGCGACTGATCAGTGTGAACCGAATCAGTGCAAAGTTAGTGTCTAATGTCATATTCTATGTGAGTGAAGTTTGCTCTTGTGACAGAAGTGTGAACGCAATTGTTAATTGTCTTTTTGGGTGAAATATCCATGTGGGTGTTGACCTTAGTATTTTGTGAAGTCTAATCCTCGAAGAAATCAAAATGACCATGAAGTTACCCACCGCGTTTTACTCATTAACGGGGTCATCAATTAAAACACTGAGGATTTCCGATAAGACTTACCTCCATTGGCTTAGAATTGGCTTTTATTATTTCGAAGATTTCAGTCCTCCAAGCAGTTTTGAAAGGTCTTTTCTGACAATCGTCTCTCTCCAAATACAATCCCATAGTATGAGTTATGATCGATGACTTTGTTTACTTGTAGCTCTTCGCCAGAGAATTCCTTCATTTCTCCAGGACATACGTGTCCACCAGAACACCTTTGAATTGTCGCTCTTTCAGAGGGCCCACAATAGACACCAAGTTATTGTATGCTGCGTGAAAAATAAATCAACTCAATGAAAGATTTGTTATTCGTCGTAGTTTGATCTTTGAGTTTTCTTGCTAAGGCCCCGTTAGTATGGAGAAAACTTGTCCCTGGTAACGGGAAAGGTCACTCGCCTACCCGAGCTAGGCTGGACGAGCCAAGGTTTCTTAAAATTGTTCTAAAAAGTAGAACTACTCTCTGTTTTCTGCAAAACCTTTTCGCAACCTGCAACAACCTAATTTGTTGCAAGGCAGGTTTGAACGTGGGTGGTAAAACGCGATTTGTTTTGCAGCAATATGTTGCAAAACAAGTTCCCCGTTTCTTTGTCCATTTTACTACATCTTAACCCTGTGGTGAACTTAGTCGTAGTGCATCCAGGGCTGAGGTGTTCCATGATGACGAAATCCAACATAATTTTGTGGTTAATGCAGTGCCGGTAGGAGGAATCGCTCCATATTTGAGAAACGTGATTTAATTCTTTGGGATTTACGGTAGTGGACTAACATAATTCGGTGGGTGCCTTGGTTGGTTAGCATATCCTTCAGACATACAAAAACCTTTTTCATTCTTCGTCCAGAAAATGTTTGTTTGATAACGAGATACTAAAGCATTGTACTCACCCAATGGTTGTCGTGGCAACAAATGCCCACCTAAAACCTTCTCCACTCCCTTTAATGAACGACCTAGGAAATTCGTCAGGATTGTACCACGTGTCCTAAAAAATAACGCATTATGGTGATTTTAAAGAAGTTTTGGTTGCTTTACCCGTGCTAGAGCCACCGTTTGTTGGTTCTTTATTGGGTGCTTCCGTAACAAAGTGATCTATTGAAACTTAAAATTACGAAGTAACTTAGAATAATTAAAGAGATTTTGTAATGAGAACTTATCCGTTCCTGATATGAACTGCGTGTCCCGTTTAAAAAAATAAATTGTTGCTAAATAATAAGAACAACGCCTTCTTAAGCTTCCATAAAACTGAGGGGAACTAAAACGTGCAACCTTTTTTGCAACATTGCTGCAGAACAAGTTAAAAAGCGATGTTGCGCCTTGTACCACCCCGGTTCAAACCTGTTAACAACCTGATTTGTTGCAAGACAGGTTTTATGTGGCTGGTAAAACGCGCAACATCGCTATTCAACTCGTTTTGCAGCATTGTTGCATGGCAAGTTGCATGTTTTTTGTCGCCAGTTTTTCTGTAGCTTAAGTTTGATACGCTGCAAATCCACCTCTCTTACTCAGCCAGCGGGGATTTTAAAGAGAGGACCTTCGAAGGCCTCTGTTCGCTGAGAGCTACAGGAAGCTAGTCTCTGAGCTACAGGAAGCTATAGCCTGTTCCAATCTCCAAGATAGCAATATAGAGTCGCGCAGTAAAAAAATGAGACAGAAAACTCGCAGGGGCGGAGGAGAGATAGAGTGGTCCCTTCCCCAAATCGCGCGCGTCTTGTTTGCGCTTGGATTGTTTTACTCTCGCGACGTTCCTACTATCTGAGAGCCTGGCACACTCTTACCCAGGGAACACTCGTTCACTACTTACCAGTCCCCACATAATGATACCGGACAGCAACGCCATCAGTAATGTAAGTACCAACACAGGCCACCCAGATAGAACGGAGGGTTTGGTGAGGTATACGTACCGGGTGGTTTATCAACACCAATGAATGCGACACCCGGGGATCCTACCAGAGGCATTAACTTGTAGGAAGTCTGATAGTAGCGATCGGCATTTTCACCACTGATTGGAAACGTGATGGTATCAATTTGATCCAGGTTTTGACTGTCATTGATGACAACCTGTCTTAAACGTAACAGGAGAAAATGTGTAAGAGTACAAACCAGAGGAATGCCGGCCATGTACAGTTGAGTGAGAGTGTGAAAAACGACACAATAACGAGCTGGTAAAAAGGAATGCAGATTCCTTCCAATTAGGGGTTAAACCTAAAGGCTGTTTACATGAAGGGAGAGGATCCTGGCACCAGAAAGATCCTAGAGCGCGGATCATCCTTGCACCTTTGACTTTTTTAATTTTACCTGCAAAGGGTTACAATTGTCCCGAGCACTTCCTGGTACTGGGATCTTTTTAGCTGAGAGATAGGAAGGAAGATCGGTCCCCTAAGCCCTAAGTGAGAAGTAAGTGTTAGCGTTGGCTTGGGGGAGGAGTAGGTGGACAGTTTCCTAGAAACGTATGACGATCCGGAAGATCTTATTACTAAGCACAAACCAAACATCAAAGGTGGCGGGTCGCGCGTGAACGTAAAAGTCGAGCCAGGTTCAACTTTAGGCTGATTTAGCAGTAGAACGGGAACGTCATTTGACGACGGGAAAGGGCGCGAAGGGACTAAACGCGACTTCCGGTACCTATTTTGCCGCTCTGTCATTAGTCAAGCCAGTTGTTTATTTGCGCGTGTAGTAGTCAACTGAAGTTCCCGTTCTGTTGCTAGGGAGCTTAAGCAAAGACGACGGCGACGGCAACGAGGAAGGCAAAAAAGCAATAGGGTTAGATTGACAAAGCAAAAACTTTTCACGTGCATCATGCTTTTTTGTACAATTCTTAGCCGTCGTTGCACGACTACAACTTGAAATTAAAGTGCTTATTTTCACGTTTTGTCGAGGACAGGAACACAAGACAACACCTTTCCTTTTCTTTTCCTGAACTTTGATACGATCCTATAGAATTCAACTCCCAGACAATTTTCCAACATTTGACGCATTAAACGAGATGAAATAAGCGCGATGAAGTTTGAGGCAGCGCGAATTCACTTTTAAGTGACCTTCTCGTAGCCGTCGTCGTCATAACTGCTTAAGCTCCCTGCTAAATAAGCCTATACATTAAGCGCGACCTTTTATACGTTGCTTCTATTTTTTTCACGCTCTTAAAATTTACGTGGATACGCTCGTAAATCTACGCGACAGTAGAAATCCACCTTAGAAGAGAACTAAGAACTGCAAAGTCCTCTTTATCTGTTAAGTGTTTTTTAAAATACCTTTACCAGTGTTTCTTGCTCTTGGAATAAGAGATCCCAGACTCCCCGTCACCACCTGTGCAATTTCCACAGCCTTGTTCAGGAATTTTCCCGAGCAATAACGGGAACAGTAGTCCCGAGGGATCTCGCCCGGGATGGTTCTCTACGTAGGGTGGGATATCGTACCAGTTGGCGAGGATTATTTTTGGGCAGTTGCACTTTTCTGAAAGTCAAACAAAGTTACACAGTTAGCTTTCATCATAAAAGTTTAGCACACACACCTAAGTTAGTTAAGCGTCAGGGGATTGAGCACGTAAGAATTAATAAAGGACACTTACCGTAAAAACTCGTGTATAAGCCGCACTCGTGTATAAGCCGCACCCCCAACTTTCAAGCATGATTTTGAAAAAAAAAAAACCAAAAATGCGCTTTTGTAAAAAAGGTGATCGTTTGTTTGCGCATCAAAATGTTCACAAATAAACTTGAGGAAATTTAATGTTGTGTATTTGCAGTGACATTTTAAATAAGTTAATCAACTCTGAAAATACCTTTTAAAAGGTTCTCTTCATTGCTAAAGCCCACAGTTGAAATGAAAATGGAACGAAAATAAAGCGCTGGAGAATGCTACAAAACGATTGCTTCGTAACCACGCGTTTATTTGACGAGGGAAGTCTGGACACCAGAGAAGGACACAAGTAAACAAATGCTGGACTTGTGAAGACTGTATTTTACAAAACTGAATAATATATTTACAAGTAACAGGTACAGATATCTTGATACTAGAAAACGAAACAACCCAATGGACAAACACGCCGTGAAAGTAGTGAAGGACGACGAAACGGTCGGCCATTTGCCTCGCGAATTCTCTCAAATAGCGTGGTATTTTCTTGCACGTAGTGGGGAAATCAGCGTTGAAGTGATTGGTCGCAGACGACACTGTAAGCAGCTGTGCGGAGGAATGGAGATTCCGTGCCAGTTAGAGTTTAACTGCTCAAACAAAGCGCAGATGAAACGCTTAAAAGAACTACTGGCGAGCAAGATTCAGGTATAGAACCTGCAGATGCAAACAAACGGCTCCTTTAGGAGCCACCACTTCTACTGAAAGCAATGATCAACGACAGGTTTCAATATGTTTAATCTTTATTTACTGAAGGTTTTCAGTTCAATTTGTGACCCCTACAAGCCAGTTTACTTCCTTTGAGAGCAATGGTCTCGTGTATAAGCCGCACCCGCGATTTTTGACTCGAAATTTCGGCAAAAAGGTGCGGCTTATACACGAGTTTTTACGGTATTATCTAGCCTTTGCACAGACCCTCCCCTCTCCTCAGTAAAAATAGGAGCAGGGGCCTCTTCTCCGATTTTTTCTGAGGGGAGGTTGGGGGGGTCTGTACACAGGCTATTATTATCTTTTCCATGTAAGGAACCCGAATTTTGCTTAATCCGAAATCTGGGGAAATTTTGCAGGGCTTTGTAATCCGGAATACAGCTCAAGGAATCCAGAATCTAAGTTCCACTGACTGGAGACTGGAATCGGCGCCTGGAATACGGAATCCACGGCGGAATCCCGAATTCAGGACTGTGTTGGAATTCCTGATGGGGCGAGACCTCCATATCTGCATGATCATTTGAGCTACGAAAATACCTGTCCGTTTGAGTCGAACGATTTTCGGATGCCCTTGAAAAATGGTTTCGGTAAGTGTTCGTTAGTTGTTTTATCAGCCAATGGATGAAAAGATCAAAACATGGCCTCTTCGTTTTCCCGCCAAAGAAAACCCTAACATGGAGAAAGTATTGTTCGATTGGCCAATCGTGTTGCAATACGACGTCAAAGCGAAGTATCGTTTGATTTCTAGAAAGTTCTTTGGCGTTCGCTTAACCAACCAAAAGCCACGCGCGTTTGTATTCGTTCAATAAACCAATCAAATCGCTCTATTTCCGTTCGTTTGTTGTTTCTGTTTTGTTCGCGCGTTTTCATTTCAAGGTGAAACGAAAATCGCCTTAATGGGTAAAGGCACTTATTACTGAGTTTGACACAGAATTCACCTAAAACATCAATATCCTCGTGGCATAGTCCCTTTAAGACTAGAACTGCCAGTCGCGACTTGCGCGCAATCTCATGCAAATATAGGCGCGGCGGTGAGATGGGCTCGAATCCCGGGTTCGTCGTCACATGTGGGTTGAGGTTCCTATTGGTTATTTCCCTTGCTCCGGAAGGTTTTTCTCAGAGTTCTCCGGATTTCTACTCTCCTTATAAACAACACTACCGAATTCCAGTTCAGTTCGCAATGGACCCAGGAACAACCGTAGCTTAAAAACTCTTTTCTTCCTTCCTCGAAGTAAACAAAAGACATTAACATTTGCTTCTCCTTCCCGCCCTTGTTACTAGCCATAAGCGCTTACCGCTATTTCTTTGACTTCATCCTTTATCCTCACTGAAAAAAACTAAATACAAGGCCAAACGTCGAACTTTTCATGAGACGAACCAAATTGAGATTACAGTATATTTGGGTCTACATGATATATTTAAATTCGTCGATTAGGTCAGATGTCGAACTAATGAAGCGTCGAACCAATCATACTTTACCATTTGAATCAGATAGGGTCAAACGTCGAACTTTTACGAACTTAATTCGCCCAGTTTGGTTCGTCCTATGAAAAGTTCGACGTTTGGCACTTGCCTAAGAAGATCCCCTGCGTTCAACGTCCTTTGCCGCTTACCTTTACGATTGACCTGCACGCATCCAAAACTCTTATTTCATTGGTCCCTATAACCTGCACTACCTATTGTTTCAGGGATAGGAGCATTGTTATGACACCATACCTATTGCTTTCCCAGCCAATCACAAACCTTCTTTGCAATAGGTGCAGGTCAGTCCTACCTTTATCGCGCAGATACATCAATGCAGATGATGGTTTTTTTTTATAGTCTTAAGAAGTTAGCTGTCTATTTACAACGTCCGCAGACACCTTTTCGGGCCATATTTTGTCAAAAACGAAAAGAAGAAAAAATTTCCAATTTTTGACCAAAACAGTGGAAAAATGCTAATTTTTCAACTTTCTTGTTTTTATATACTGGAAAGGCAGTTTTCAAACTTCAACCTCCCCATCAACATTTCTGACCCTATTTTGCTAAAAAACGAAAAACAAAGTTCAAATTTTTTTTGGAAATATGCAAATTTTGCGACTTTCTTAAATCTATATTTTGTAGTCTTTAGAAACTAGTTTTCCATTTACAACGTCATAAACACCTTTTCTTGGCCTATTTTGCCAAAACGAGAAACAAAAAATTTCAAATTTTGACTAAAACCATGGACTAACCCCTTTGAAAAATGCAAATTTTGCGACTACCTTAAATCGATGTTTTTATAGACTAAAAGGCTAGTTTTCTACCTACAGCCTCACCAAACACTTTTTCTTGGCCTATTTTGCCAAAACGAAAAGAAGAAAAAATTTCAAATTTTTGATCAAAACTATGGTCTAACCCTTTTGAAAGAATGCAAAGTTTTTTAAATGGATGTTTTCATAGTCTTGAGAGGCTAGATTACTGTTTACAGCGTCCCAAACACCTATTCTTGCCCTCATATTTTGCCCGGCAAAAACGAAGAGAAGAAAATTCAAATTTTGAGCAAAAACCATGGATCAACCTTTAGAAAAATGCGATTTTCTTAAATCGATGTTTTTATAGACTAGAAAGGCTAGTTTGAAAAGTCACCAAACAGCTTTTCTCAGCCCATAATTTGCAACAATTAAAAAAAGAAAACGTTTCGAATTTTTACCAAAACTATGGACTAACCCTTTTTGGAAAAATGGAAATTTTGCGACTTTCTTAATCGATGTTTTCATACGGTCTAGAAAAAATTCTCAATCTACAACATACCAAACTCTGTTTTAACAAAAGGAAGAAGAAAAAATTTCATATTTTTTACCAGCTGAACCAGGGTAACCCTTTTGAAAAACGCAAATTTCGCGACTTTCTTAAATCAATGTTATTATAGTCTTAAAGAGGCTAGTTTCTTATTTACATCGTTCCAAACAGCTTTCTGGCCATATTTTGCCAAAAACGAAAGAAGAAAATATTTAAATATTTTGACCAAAACTGTGGACTGACCCCTTTGGAAAAATGCAAATTTTGCAACTTTCTTAAGTTGATGTTTTTATAGTGTAGAAAGGCTAGTTATTTGGGCGTCGCCCAAATAGAGTAATCGAGATCGCTTGTTTTGATTCAAAGTTGCAATAGGCACGAAATACGTGAGAACGTAAACAAGCGAAGTAAACAAGCAAGCGACGCGACCAGAGTGTCTGCCGCGCGAAGTGTCACGACACAACATTTATCCTTGTTACAAACGTCCCACAGATAACGCCAGGCAAACAAATCGAAAATAGAAATCGAACGTGAAAAAACAAGGTACACGTAGTGAAACAAACTATTAAATGATTTAAATTTTCCTTTCGGAAAATAATTATCCTCCCAGCACTCGACGTTAAAGTTTTTTTCGGTGGACCATAGGTACCGATCATTTCCCTTTTCCATTGTACAGACTATTCATAGCCAGAAGGGACATGGCCTCTCAGAGGATGAGTTTTTGTTCGGAAGAGATAAACTTATAAATCTTAAGTTTACGGTATTCTTTTATCTTACCTAGAAACCGGGATATTTTTTCAGAAATTTGAAAGTAAATCTGTCGAAAAATACAGTCGAACCTCTCGGTACGGACACCTCTCTAATACGGACAGTTTCAATATCCCGACAAAATTCTCATATATTTCATTTAAAAAAAAACTCTACAATACGGACGCTCGCTAATACGGACAACGGACACTAAATCTCGGCCCCAGAGAGTAAACTTATATAAACTTAACCTCTTTATTCAGGACACTGCGGTGATCAGGTGAGTCCCGAATACCGATTTGGTGAATCTGCACAACGTGAATCGCGTCTAGTCTGGCTGATTAGCTATGCAAGGTGATATAAAGTCCAGTCGCTGTATACTAAACAACGATTTGCGAAAGGTGCACAGAGGAACATAACCGACTTTTTGTAGGCTTCAATAACTACAGATAGCATTAAGACCTTTTCTATTACATTTTGGACTCTAGTTACTGTTTACTGCACTTGCAAAATAGTGAAAGACGCTTTCAGCATTGTGCTTTACTTTAGAACTTTTTACATGCAGCATAGCCTGTAGCTCCAGTAGCTCGGTTCGTTTTAAAACAGTAATTTGTCTGAAGATGAAATGACAGAGAAAGACAGTGTCTTTGTACTGTGAATTAATAAATGCAGTTTAAAGACGAGTGTGAGCTTGGTTTTAGCTGCTGAACACTTAAAACTGTAAGTGGAGCCATGAAAGTGACGTCATCGTAGTGACCTCTTTTATACGGACATGCTCCCTAATACGGACACTTCGCTCTGTCCCTTCGGTGTCCGTATTAGAGAGGTTCGACGGTAATTGGAATTGACGGGTTTGGCTTATTGTCTAGAGTTTGACACTGTATTTTTGTCCTCAATTGTTGAGAGCCAAAGCAGATGTCACGCAAAATTCCGTGACTGGCATGAGATAAATAAAGATAACATTAAATGATGCATAATTTCATTGCAGATTATAGGAAAGGATCTTGCTAGAGATTGCTAGCAATGCGCTTTAGCAGTGTGTTACCCGCTGTCCTGTTTCTCGCTTGGATCATTCGCCGGGCCGCCCGAAAAGCGTGATTACTTGGAAAATTTCCACCCTGGATCCCTCCATCACAATATTGGGATCCCATCTAACCGGGCTGGCTCGGTTGTCATATAATCGCAAAGTTGATTTTTGTTGCGTTTAACTATGGTGCCGAGATCTTTGCAAAGCGGGCCAGTCCATGTAAACAGGCCCTTAGTTCTATAGCCAGATTTTACGCCCTCTCCCTTGAACTTACCGATTTTTCAAAGCTCCCCGAACACACACAAAATCTTAGCCCCCCCCCCCCCCCCCGCCGTCAACATCTTTATCGACGCCCAAATATACGCCCCCACAGCGTCTTGTTTTCTCAGTAAATTACGTGAACAACACACTTTTCCTAGGTCTTTTTTGTCTAAAAAGAAAAGAAGAAGACATTTTAAATTTTTGACCACAAGTATGGACTTAGCCCCTTTGAAAAAAAGGAAATTTTGCGACTTTCTTAAATCGATGTTTTTATACGGTCTAGAAAGACTAGAAAGGCTAGTGTTTTTTATCTAGAAGGTCACAAAGTACCTTTTTGGTCTATTTTTCCATAAACGAAAAGAAGAAGAAACCTCAAATTTTTTACCAAAACCATGGACTAACCCCCTTACATTTGGAAAAATGATAATTTTGTGATCTTTTTATTTTTGACCAAAAGCTTGACTAACCCCTTTTCGAAAAATGCAATTTTCGAATTTTAGCAAGGGTTTTATTTCATTAATTTGGTTCTAATTCTTAAAGTTCTTTGTTGTTTGAGCAAAAAATGAGTTTAAGTCAAGTTTTCTGAAGTTGTATACGTAGATTAGAAAACACGCCCTTCTAGGACAAGAAAATCATTTTCTTTAAAAGATTACAGAGTCATGAAAATGAATTTTTCAAAAAAGGGTTAGCCTGTGGCTTTAGTTAAAAAAATTA